ACAGCAGCAAGAATATTCATTGCAAAGTACTGGAAGACACAAGATCTACCCACCTGGGAAGAATGGCAGATGAAGCTGATGGACTACATGGAGTTGGCGGAAATGACTGGCAGAATCCGTGACCAGAGAGAAGAGTCGGTGGAAGAAGAGTGGAAAAAATTTAAAGTTTATTTACAGAAATATTGTAAAATTAATGAATGTTAGAAGGATGCTGGAATATAGTTATATGGCTCTAGCAGAAATATTATAAAGAATTAAGTAAAAATAGATTGTTAATGGGTCAAAGTGGAAATTTAAGGTTAGATTGTGATAAGATAAATTATAGAACAAAAATTAAGAAAGATGGAAAGGATTTGCTGAAATAGCTAATTGAACAAGAATACAAAAAAGGGAGGTGTGAGGAGGTCGATGATATAAGTAAATGAAAGGTAGAGATATAGAGATACTGGATGTGTTTTTAAATGTTTTTGTTTCTCTTGTTGTTTTGCTGTGTTGTTTTAGTTTTTTTCTTTTATTTTTGATGTATTGTGAATCTTTTATTTTTTTTGTTTTTCTTTTTTTATTCTGTAACTATTAAACCCTTAATAAATATATTTTTTTTAAAAAAAAGTTAAGCAGCATAACATTGCATGTATCTGGATTCTTAAGTTGCAGCACTGTGGCCTTGTTCTAATGCTGCACTTACTTATACTATCAGTGAAACTGCTGGTCCTGCTATGTCAGCTGCCTCCAGCCCCCAACATAGAAGGGTTGCTTAAGGGCAGCCTACCCATGAGGCAAGGTGAGGGGACCGCCTCAGGTGGCAGCATCCACAGGGGCAGCAGCTGCCAACGCCAATCTTTCTTCCTCTCTTGTTCCTGATGTACATCTTCCCTGACCTTCCCTGGTAGGGAGGGACAGTTGTACCTGAGCAGGTACAACTGTATCCTGGCTTCAGGTAAGCTGGAGCAAAGGTTTTCCTGCTTCTTTCTCCCTTGTAATGCATAGGCTGATTATATGTGTAAATGGAACCACAGGCTCAAGCTTTCAGTGAGTAATGAGCTTCTAAGACATATAAGAGCCAGGATCTCTGCCTCTCCTGATTGCTGATTGCAATCAAGTGATCTCTGAAATTTCTGGGGAAATCCAGAAAGTGAGGCAGACAGCAGATGTGAGAGTGGGCATAAGCCAAGTGTGTGCCTACATTATGTTTCCAATTCAAGTATTTAATGCATGCACTACCGTGTCTCACACACTTACCATGTGAGTTGGCCCATACTCATGTAGGGTTAACATGCCAGTGATCAGTGACCAGGGCAGGTGCCACTGCTGGCATGCAAATGATAGTGCTTTCTCCATGGTCACTATGTTGTCTGTTTTAGCCCTCATTCCTTCACTCAAAATGCTTGGTCTTTACTTTTAAGAACTGAATATTCGAGGGATGCACAGAACAAATGGGGTGAGATTAACAAGCTTGCCACATTAATGGTATACATGTCATTTTTGTTATTTTGTAACTCAATTAGAGATTGTCTCAAGTTTTAAGCGGTATATAAATATATGGATTAAATGAAAGAATAAACCTGCGAAACTGAGATTTGTTATTTCTAGGTAATAAAGCAGAGTTCAGACTTTAGCTTCTTAGACTGACTCTGCCAAAATATTATAGACTGTCTTCAGAACTAATGCAGGAGAGGCATAAGAATGGGATGAGAAGGCACTACCCCAGTATGATGTTTTATCAGGGGGTCTCTTTGCTAAATAGTGGTAAATGAAATAAATCACACATAACATTCAAATCAGGCATAGCTCTGATGCTTGAATTGGTTGAATTCAAAAGTAGGCAAATAGCTTTGAATCCCATAAAACTCTGGCTTTGATGATGAAATGTTGGTTTTAGGTTTTCGAGCTTTGACTTTCTCTGTTTTTCAAATCCAACAATGTAGCCTGAAATGGTCCTGGAATAATATCGTTTGCCTTTGAAAGGGAATGGCAGATTAGAAGGTGTTGTTTTAAAGTGGCAAGGGGAGGAAAATGTCCATTCTTGTTCCATGTCAATTTGCATCACTCTAAGCACGGCCAGGTGTGTATATTTCATGTATCCACAGACTCCTTTGTTGAAATGCAAAATTTGGTTCCGAAAGTATCTCACCTTTTATATTGAGAGAGTGGGGAAAAGTCCAGACCACAAGGCTGTTAAGAAAGGCTTGGAAACATGAGGGCAATATCTGCTAACGGCTCAGGTCCTTCCCAGAATGTGCAAAATGTAGAGTAGAAATCTGATTGCCATACACGATCCAGACATTTTTCTATGATGAGCTGATCTGTTTCAGCAGAAACCACATTTTCTAAGTGCTTAAACAACAGCACAATGTTGCTGAAGATGTGTGTCTCACAATTCTTGCGCAAATACTGTGTGGAGACTTGAGTGGTTGTGCTGGTGTTGTGGGCTGATATTGGGACAGTGCCTGGGACATCATTGCAACAGCTTATGATTTAAATTCCTCCCTCGCCATTCTGGGGGATTCAAATGCCAGCAATTAAGCTACCTTTCTCCCTGGTTCTTCCCTTCCTACATTTGAAAACTGTTTACTCCACCTCTTTACTATGTTGGCATTAAGAGATGAGTATTTTTCCACTGCAACTGCGGCTGCATCAAAACTAACCTGGATTGTCTAGAAAGGTCCTCAAAAACTAGGAAGGAATTGTGGGGGCTTCCAGTGGTCAGTGATTGAGGCTTCCACACATTGAGCATAAGTTTATCAGTCATGATCCTACGTGCTGCTATTCTGCCAAGGCTGAGCCCCCTAACCATGGCCTCCCTTCCTTCTTTCCCTGCACATATTATTCCCAATCATTCAACCCTGCTTTGGAAAGAAAATTTAAATGGATCCAGTGTCAAAATCTAAATGGGCAAAACACCAGAATGTAGGAAGGTGAGAATATTTGCATCTATTTAATCTGATTGCATAACCGAGTCAGGAGACCAAACCTGGAACTCAGGGATGCATGATTTATGTACAAAGGGCATTGTTTGCAGAAACTTCGGATGAAGAAATGGGAATGGTTATTTGTATAAGTAGCATGCAACCAAGATTTTATGGCTGAAATTGCAGACACAGAAAGGAATTGACATCCATGAACCCTGATAAAATTCCTCCATTACCTCTGATGTAATGGACAGACTGAATTTACAATCTGTCATTCAAAATTGTGAAGCCAGCAAATATAAGAGTCGTAACGTTTGAAGGTTGGGGGGGCTGTTTTGGTTGGTGTTTTACTGTTAGTTACTTGCTTTATGGTCACGGCAGGCTATTCATTCATACAAATGAGTCCAGTAATCCTGCCCCCCTGCCCAAAAGATGGAAAAGGTTGGTTTAGATGTGACTTCACCTCACATTCAGCCTCACGTTGAAATGCTAGGATACTTCCCTCCCACACTTGTTATGATTGAGACCCTTGATGTATTCAGACAGATCCGGAATGATTTTCCTGTTATTGGTTACGTATCCAATATTAAGCACAGAAATAAAGACAGCTGCCATGTGGCTAAATGGGATGATATCCTCAAAAGCAGAGTATGTTAAAATCTTGTTACGCACCAGCTCCCTGGAGAAGAGAAGCTGCAGGAAATTACTGTAGCACCAAAAATGAATAATTGAAGCAAAGCGCATTCAATATGTGCATAAACACAGAGGCCAGAGTGCAGCCTCCTAACCAGCTGGCAGTGCAGAAACTCACAAAGAAAGTGCCGGATAGATAGATTTCTCAGGAGAAGCTGACCCACTTTCCTAGGAGCTTTGAGGAGGGCTCACGAAGAGGTCACAGCAAGGACTGTGGCAACATCGCCCTGGATCGGGATGGCCTCTTGATCAGAAGGCAATCGTTTCACAATGTTAGGCAAATAAACAAATGTTAAGAAATGAGCCTCAAGACATGTTTCCTGGGTTTAACACCCTGCTCCTCCTCCTCCTGCTCCTTACCTGCTGGAAAAAATTGGCCGAATAGAACTCTGTCCTCAGGTTTCAACTCCAGAGACCGACTAGAGAGATTCTCTGTATGCCTTCCCAGATAATCTTGTGTCATGAATTGAAATGCCCACCCATAGACACACACACAAATTCCAGTATTGCCTCAGTTTCTAACCCTGGTCCCACAGAGAAAGCAGTCAGGGAACCCAAAGATTATGAGAAATAGAACGAGAGAGCGGATGATATCCCATCCTTGTGGTGTAGAGAGGAGGTTAGCAAAACAGCGCTCCAGTTGAGATCTCAGGGGTCAAATATCCCAGACTGAGGAGGTGTCCTTCATTTTTAAAAGGCTGGACCTTGGTTCTATTGACATGAATTGATCCCTTTAGCTCCACTGGCATTAACTGATTTTCATATTTCCATAGAAAATAGGGGGTGTCCCCGCCTCAATAAGCACAACTCTAAAACATCCCTTCTTTTTTACGTTTTGATCTGGCGGCTTCTTAGATCAGTGACAGGTGGGGGGGGGAGTGGATCAGTGGGGAGAAGGACACCTGGAAAAGGGGGTCACCTGTAAGGACCTTAGAATTAGGGATGGGGGTGGAGCTGACTAAGAAAACCTACAAGGCTCTTTATCTATATCCAGGGCTACACCATCTATATCTTGCTAAATGCCTCTCTGTCTCCGTTGCCAGGATTCTGCACGGGGCTTTAGCCCGCAGGCTCCATCCAGACTCCCCCTTCCGGACCAGAACAAAGCTCCATAAAGATAAGCCATGCATCAAATAGGTAATCCCATCTGCCCCGGATAATACTTGACAGAGACACCCCCCGTTCCCGCTTCACAGTAGGACAACCCCCTCCTCCTTTTCAAACCCTCCATATACAGCATTCATTGCCCCCTCTCCGGAGGAGAGACCACTGTATCAAAGCAGGGGGAGAGAGAAAAAGAAAAGGTGGGAAAAGCAACCTCGGGCGGCTGCCTCTCTCACGCACCCCCAATGGAAGCTGCCCTGGGGGCGCTGCTGTAGGTGGCGCTTCGCCATGTACCTGCTGCTGCTGAAGTGGCCGTCGCCGCCGTCTGCTGCTGGAGGAGGCGGGAGAGAGCCGGCTGGACGGCGGCTGCTGTTGCCGCTGCACTGACAGCTCTGGAAGCGGCGCCGCGGCTGTGAGGAGGGCAGGCGGGCGGGCGGGGGCGGGGTGGCTGGGCAGAAGAGGCGCCGGCGCGCGCGGGGCTCCGGCGCAAAATCCGGGGCCGGAGGAGGAGCCGAGGAAGGGCGCGCGCGGAGGGCGGGGCGCGGCGCCTCGCTTCCCATGCCAGGCAGTCATGGCTGCGGCGCCTTGCTCGTGGGGGTGGTGGGGTGGCTCTTCCTCAGGGCTCCTTCCAATGGTGCTGCGGAAGGCGCCTTTGGTGCAGAAATTCAACAGGTGTGGCGATGGGGGGGGGGCGAAGCTGAACCTGAGAGATTTCTGCCTGCCAAAAGCAAGCACAGGTCCTTGGGAAGGAGGAGGAGGCTGTATCCTTCCCCGCCTCCACCCACCAAATGACTAGCCCTTCTGGAAAGGAGAAGGAAGGGAGGGGCAATGCCCAAGATCCAGGTCTTGGGGAAGCTAATCCTTAGGGGCAGCTGGGTCCACCTTGCCTGGGAGGGAGCGGGTGGCGCTGTGGTCTAAACCACTGAGCTTCTTGGGCTTGCTGATCAGAAGGTTGGCAGTTCAAGTCCGCGCAACGGGGTGAGCTCCCATTGCTCTGTCCTAGCTTCTGCCAACCTACCAATTCAAAAGCACACCAGCGCAAGTAGATAAATAGGTACTGCCGTGGCAGGAAGGTAACTGGCGTTTCCATGTGCTCTGGTTTCCATCATGGTGTCCCGTTGTGCCAGAAGTGGTTTATTCATGCTGGCCACATGACCCAGAAAGCTGTCTTCGGACAAACACCGGCTCCCTCGACCTGAAAGCGGAGATGAGTGCTGCACCCCATAGTTGCCTTTGACTGGACTTAACTGTCCAGGGGTCCTTTACCTTTTTACCTTACATTGCCTGGGAAAGAACATGGTATTTGCAGTAACAGCTACCTACCTTACCCCTTGACACATCCTTTGTAATCATGGTGGGACCTGTTGAATTTCTATTGATGCAGCTGTTAAAGGCAAGAAAGTTAAAGGGTGACAAACTAAGTGAGAGAGAGAGAGAGAGAGAGAGAGAGAAGGAAACTGCCTCAAAGCAAAGGCCAAACTAGTCCAGCATTCTGTTCCAACAAAAATATTCATGTAGGAGCAGCTGATGCAGAAGCCTTCAGGGTGAGGAGGAATGCAGTGTTCTTAAGGATCAAACTTCTGCTTACATTCTTCACAGTCCTCGCTTTTAACAACCCTTTCGGTTAGCAGCCCCTCTAAAGTCAAAATCTAGTGTGCAAATTGAAACAAAGAAGTTCTGCAAGGTAGAACTTTTAAGATAAAATTATTATTCCAGATTATTAGAGCTGCAAAGCTGAGGCCTGCACAAGCATTTAAAATAGGCCATCATTTTAACAAAAGGAGGAGAACAAGGAAAGACAAATGAGTGACCAACTTTTATTTGTATATGACACTTTGCTGTGGATTGTGCCACCTACTACCCACATCTGCCATGTGGCTGTGTGGGGAATCACGCTTGCGGCTTTTGCACAAGTGTAATATGGCTTACAAAAAAGAGGAATCCACCCAAGATTACTGTTTGGGGAGAAAGTGCCATGTGGGTCCCTGCAGAGATTCACTTGCTCAAATCCAAATGACTGAAGTTGGAATTCAAACCCAGATTTCACACATCCATTTCCAACTCTGTCCCCCAGGTTACTAACACAGCCATGGAAGCATTCTCCAGAGTGATCGCTGTAGTGACAAGTGGATTGCAGGGGCAAGATATTTTTATTTAATTATTGCATTTATATTTCACCTTTTCCTCCAAGGTGTTCAAGGCATACATAGTTCTCTCATTTAATTCCCACATCAACCCTGAGAGGCAGGGACTGACCAAAGGTAACCCTGTGTGCTTCATGGCCAAGTGGGTCTTTGAACCCTAGTTTCCCAGGTATGACACTCTGGCTCTGACTGGATGGATCAGTAGGTGTCACACACTGGCCTGGTGCAAAGCTTCTTGGCACCTTAATACAAGCAGGCTGTATCAGTTAAGATGTTGACAGTGGTTAAGGGTATTGTAAAGTGTAATTCAATTCATTATATGGAGCTCCAGAGTCTCATATTTCAGATTGCAGTAACTATCAAAGAAATAATTCAACTTCCTGATACTCCCTGGAAATTAATTATCCAGTATTGACCTCTGTTGGAGCCCTACCTAAAGGCTTTTGATCTTGGTTCATGTACAGCAGTTTTCTTTTATCTATTCATAAGCAATTCCTATTACAGGAACTATGCTGAATGATGCATATAAACAAAAGAATATAAAAGTCTCAATAGTAAATGAATCAACCCCATTGGGTATTTGTCATTTCTGTTCAAACTTACACCTTAGTTTTTGCTCAGCATCATGGACAGTCTACATTTGAACCTTATTGCGTTGTCTTTGAAATGACTGACACAGTCATTGAGTGCTGGATCTGTGTCTATTAACTTGTCCTAATTTCCACATACTAGACTACAGGGAATTGGAGGCATGTGTAGATTGTGCGTGTTATTTTGTGTGGGGCTGATGGATGGATGGCCCTAACCTGTGATGGGTTTTTGTACTCCTAGCCTTCAAAGAATAGTGAATCAAAACCAAAGATTTAAGATATCAAATGAAGCAGTTGCTAGATCTTCTCCTAGCCCAACAGCACCATGTGGGTAGAAAAACAGAGGCAGAAAAGCTTGCCCACTCTCTTGCCTTATTCTGGTGGGGTGCCATTACAAGAAAGTCTTAGAGCGGCTTTCTTTTTCCTGACCATTACCTTCTTGTAATGGCCCCATAGCTTCCCACTAATTTTGACCAAGGACTGGCAGACCACCAGAAGTGCCTTCAAGGAATGGATCTGGCCCAGGGGCTTGTCACCCACTTGCTATAAATTTTCATGTCCTCGGCTTCAAGGCCTCATGTGTTGACCTGAGGAGGACAGTGATTTGGATAATACAGCCACTTCGCTTGAGGGGGAGCCCTTCAGCAGCACATTAACTCCATCATGAGAATGTGGTTCTTCCATCATCCTTGGGGTCCGCAGAAGCTTCTCCTGCTCTACCACCTTGTAGGACCATGCAACTGCAGATGCCAGGAACAGTGCTCCTACTGAGGTGCAAAAAGGGTTTGTCTCACAGAGTGAAAATCAAGCACCCTGAACTCAAAGATTCGGCTGAAATCCTTGCACATCATTACAGAGCGAGAGAACACGAGAGAGAGAAAATCTTGGTAAATGGCACACCAGAAGCAGTAACTCCCTGCTTTTGGTGCTGCCTGTCATTTCCTGTGTGAACATCGCACAATTGCTCCTGCTGTCCATCCTGAACGCAGCTGAGTTTTGCTTGCCCTTTGCCCTGTCCTAAGGGGACTACTTGAGCAGAGTTGTTTGAGCTTGCCTTTTTATTTTCTAGCTAAAAGCAGTTATTCTGGTCAATTGAGCTGAGTGTGTTTGACAGGTTTGCCCTCTGTGTTGCTGTATTGCTGGTGTTTCAGTGGTGCCAAAAATACAGTGTTTTCCGCTATACTTCAGCAGAGAACCAATATGCAGTAACAGAAGTACAATGATCGATGAGCAAACACTGACTGTAATTAACAGCAGACAAATGTGAGCACAAAAGATCATTTGCCCAAAACGTGCATCTATTACGGTTGTTAATGTGTGATTAAAAATTCAGTTAGCTGCATCTGGATTCTAAATTGGTCACATATGATTAGTGGCTAGAATGTTAGACAATTCTAATTTGGTATACCTTGAGTATAATAATATTATTTACTATTGTAGTTCTTCTTCATCCCAGAGCCTCTGGGTAGAGAATAACAAAACCTCAATTCAAAGATTTCTTATGTGCATATTCCTTTTCCTGGGCAAAGCCATGAAAATAAACGAGGCAGCCTACATGAGGAAGAGATCACTGATGCAAATGCAGAGCACAGGCCTTGATAGATTGGGATGTGAATAAGATAATAACCATCTGTACTGTCAGTCTCCAGTCATCCCTAAAGGCAGGTGTTCAAATTTATTTTATCTGTTTTTATTTATAAAGATACTTATATACCACTGTATCATAAAAATATATCACAGAGGTTTACAACAATATAAAAACAAAACCAGACAATAGAATCATAGAAAGTTAAAAACTAGTTAAAAGAGAAAATAAAATTAAAAAGAAACATCAATTACCGTAACCATTGCAGGGGATGTACTCTTAACTGGCTGCATAGGCCTGGTGGAACAGTAAAATTTTCATCAGGTATTTAAAAGTTGGCTCAGAAGCCACACTCTTATGTTCCTCACAAACACTTTTTTTTATAACGGACAAAAAGTAGGAAGGGGAAGACACAACAGAGTAATCACAAAGATTTCTGGGCAGGATGCCTACAGTAGTGAGCCCTCACAGTCTTTCTCGGACAAGGGTTCAAGGCTGACCCAAGGAGGGAAATGCACTTTTGCCAAGCAATCAAACGGGAGGGAGGGGCCAGGGCAGACTCAGACACACACTGTGAGCAGTAACCTCCAGTGGCTCACGAAAAAGAATGTCAGAGGCAAAAGAGAAGGAACACAAACCCACAGAGCAGTTCCTTAACCTCACAACCGCAATAGCAGACCCAAATCACACTCATAACAGGCTGTTTGCCTCTCTCACCTCAGTACCTGGCCATAGATGCTAGGGGTACAGTGGCTGCAGGAGGAGCTAAGAGCTCATGTTTTACACATGTGTGGTGCCCCAGGATGCATAGCTGAGCCAGTCGGGAGGAATGCTTTATGGACCACCAACCTGGCTAACTAACACTTCTGCTCATATTACTGATGTGGGCATGCCTGTGGATCGAAGGAATATAGGATATGGTCCCTCTCCTGTGCTGTCTACATCCCGCTCATCATTCCACCTCATGTTAGCTCGTTTGCCTGCATATGTATCATGATCACATTTGGGCACACTCAAAGGCTGAAGGACCAGTGGTTCCATAAAAGGAGGGCTTGAACACCACTGCAGAACAGGAGACACCAGAGGCCAAGTTGCTTATGTAACTGAGATGCTGGAGACT